TACTTGGCATATGCTACCCACTTAATAAATAGCAACTTCTTATAACAGTATAGTTGGATTCCCCTATTTGGCGTGGAAAAGAGTCATTATATCATATATAACCTGATAGTAGAGTAAAATAATTTACTTGGCATACTCATTTATTAGCAGTTTTAAAAATTATAATTATCAGTCTAGCCAAAGGTGCAGTAAAGTGTGTACACAAATATGCTGATGAAGATTAAAATCTTCTAATAAATTTTTTAGTAGAGCAATTTGGCAATATATAGTGATAGCCATAAAAATGCTCTTTGAGTCTGTAATTTTCTGTCTTGAAATACCCTCTAAAGAAAGAATCAGAGAGTCAACTAAGACTTATAGCCACTAGCATTTGATAATAGTGGGCAGGGTTTAGGGAAGGGGAAAACTTAAATGTGCAACAGCAGAGAATAATTGAATAAAACATGATATTTTCACATAATTCATACTTTGCTGCTATAAAGAAATATTTGATGATATGAGAAAGTGCTGAGTATACCATTATGTAAAAAAAGATATAAATGTATTGTGTAACATGTTCAAATTTTGTACACTAAGAAATGTATTCCTCTTTCTCTCCCTTTTTCTCCTTCCTCAAAAACAAGACATTAAAAATATCAGCAGAGTTCATCTGTGGATGGATTTCAGTTTTCGTCAGGTTTTTGGTATACTCTAGTATTTTCCAAATTTTACACAATAAACAAGTTACTTAGTATATCTCATATGGAAAATGGAGGGAAGATTGAGTGTCTAGTTATCTGCTATTTATCAGAAGTGACTTTTTGGAAAAAAGCTTTGAGAAACTGAGAGCTATTTTCTCAGATGCTGCTTGTCTCCAAAATTGAAACAGTTTAGTTGGTTTGGACTAAACTGGATCTCAAGAGGAATTGTTGGACAGATTCTGGGTATTCTTGAATACATTGGTTTTAATGTAGCAGATAAATAAGAGTTCAAAGAAAAAGAGTTGATTTTTTTTTTCTTTTTTTGAGTTGGAGTCTCACTCTGTTGCCTAGACTGGAGTGCAGTGGCTGCTCCTGGCCACCGCAGCCTCGACCTGGTGGGCTC